AAAAAAAAAAAAAAGCAAGTCTTAGGAGGAAGTGTGGAAAGCAGGAATGGAATGTATCCACTAAGGGGGATACTCAGGCAAATGGTTATGTTGTTCTAATAAATGAAGACTGGGGGTTGTGGGGGGGAGCTGAAACTAAATATACTCCTTGCCACAATTCCAGAGTGCCTACTTCAGTCCCAGTCTTTAGGTAGTAAAAGTGAGCCTCAGGCTGGTCATATGATTTGACCAGGGTTAACAGTGTGAGAATAGCATCTAGATCTCTGTTGCAAGGCACCCCAGTGTTATTGATGATGTCACTCTAAAATTAACAGAAGGCAAATTTTGACTCAATATAAGAAAAAACTTAAAACTAGGCTCCTCTAAATATAGACTGGATCCTTCCGTATCTCCAATGGGCTTCCTTCATTGGAGATGATCAAGTCAAGTATGTTTTAGAAAGGATTCTTAGTCTGTTTGGGCTTCTGTAACAAAATACCACAGACTGGGTAGCTTATAAACAATATAGATTTAATTCTCACAGTTCTGAAGGCTGGGAAGTCCAGGATCACGGCAATGGAAGATGTGGTGCAGTGGCTGGTGAAAGCTAGCTTCCTGGTTCATATATGGTACTTTCTTGCTGTTCCTTCACATGGTGGAAGGGGCAAAGGATCTCTCTGGTTGCCTCTTTTATAAGAGTACTGATCCCATTCATAAGGGATCCAGTCTCATGACCTAGTCACCTCCCAAAGGCCCCATCTCTTAATACTACTACCTGGTACATTAGATTTTGGACCTATGAATTTTGGGGGATACAACATTCAGACCATAGCAGAGTCTAATGGTAGTAGAAATTGGAAAAGATTTTTGTTGTTTTGTTTTTAATCTAAAAGACATTAGGGGCTTTGTTCACAGAGAAATACCATCGGATGGGCACCTGATGAGCACTTCACAACAGCACCTGATGTGACACAACTGCCAAGGCATGGAGTTCCTGATGTGAGAGGTTCTACCCATGTTTCAAAGTCATGCTGAAATGTCATCTTCAGTAAGTCTTCCAGATCTCCCTAGCTATCATTAGTCATCTTTTTCCTTTTGCTGCTGAAGTCTTTTATTTCTCTGTTGTGATACATATATTCTGCCTTAGTTGTGTACAAATCTTGAGATGCGATGTGTTATAATGGACAGGATATTGGTTTGAATTTTGCATTTTTGAGGTTATTTTGAATTCGGCCTCTGATAGTTACTAGCTGTGTAACCTTAAACAATTTACTCAATTGTAACTCATTCTCTGTTGCTTAATGTTCAAAATAGGTGGTTCAGGAGATGAAATGACATATAAATGACTGGGCCCATAATAGGTATCAACTAATATCTCCCACCTGCTTCTTGGACAGTGTAGAGTCTTCCAGTTGTCCAGCTCCTGGTTGTACAAGAAGAAGGAACTAATAAGGGTAAATTGACTTGAACTGAGGAAATTCTCAGTCCCTAGCTTTCCAAATCCAGTAATTCTCTAGCGGGAATTGATAAAGGGTATGAAATGGTGTTAAGAGCACTGATGTGGACCTAGGGAAATAATCTAGCAAGTGGGCAAAACATTTATATAGATTTGTTTATAAGAGCAAAGCATTTGGAAGAAAACTAGTTGGTCTTTAATAGAAGACTCAATTAACATATGATCCATTCATATAATTGCATGGATAAAGGACCCTCCCAGATAACATACCTACTTATGCATCCATGAGAAAAGACTTGTTAAGTGTAAACAGGCAGAGGGGCGCCTGGGTGGCTCAGTTGGTTAAGCGACTGCCCTCGGCTCAGGTCATGATCCCGGAGTCCCGGGATCGAGTCCCATGTCAGGCTCCCTGCTCAGCAGGGAGTCTGCTTCTCCCTCTGACCCTCCTCCCTCTCATGCTCTCTGTCTTTCATTCTCTCTCTCGCAAATAAATAAAATCTTAAAAAAAAAAAAGTGTAAACAGGCAGATAACAGAATATAGTGTATAGGAGGGGGAGATGAACCATGAGAGACAATGGACTCTGAAAAACAAACTGAGGGTTCTAGAGGGGAGGGGAGTGGGAGGATGGGTTAGCCTGGTGATGGGTATTGAGGAGGGCACGTTCTGCATGGAGCACCGGGTGCTATGCACAAACAATGAATCATGGAACACTACATCAAAAACTAATGATGTAATGTACGGTGATTAACATAACAATGAAAAATTAAAAAAAAAAAGAATATAGTGTATATATTTATTGAACACAGCAGAGTTGATGGAAATAGGGCTGTGGCTATAGACACAGGCATATCCTTAAGTCTCTATCAGAGTCCCTATTCATGTGCATATCCATGTCATACCTGCATTGATATCTGGAAAGCACACTAAAAATAATCTTATCTCAGTGCTGGGGTTATGGGATTGAGAGGTGCAAAATTTTCACTTTCCATTTTATATACATCCACATCATATAGATGTAATAGAATAAGAATTACTTTTAGAACAAAATACAATCAGGTAATTCTATTTTGAGAACATGTATACACATACATACATATACATACATATATATATACAACTATAGTTGGGGCTTCCCAGTAGTTCACTGGGGTTATTTTCAGAATAAATCCACATCAAATCTAGCCTTGGACTACTCCCACAAAACAGAAATCCAGCAGCTCAAATACGGCCATCTGGATATGTATCTTCAACACCAGGTTTGAAATGTGACTTGTAAGATAAACAGTGAAAATATTTACATTTTGTCTTCTCCTTATTCTCTCACAAGAAAACATAAGACCTTCCCAAGAATTCATTCCTTACCTGATGGTAAGTATGACAGAGTCTCAACTAACACAGCGATTTCATTGTGGAACTGATGCAGACGTCAGGATAGCAGCCAACCTTGTTATACTATCAGTGGGAACACTGATCCATGGGGCATTTGTTCAAAGTCATACTGAGTTTTGTTTGTATTTTTAAGTTATAAGTTATAGGAAATGCCACTGATTTAATAGTAGCCTTTTGAGAAAAGAAGAATGTTAACACTAATGTGCACATCCATTGTGCATTACCCATCCTGATTTCAGAAATGTCAAAATATGCATAAAAATTAAAAGTGCATCTGAGATCCATAGGAATATGGCCCTAGAAGCCTAAGTTTGCTTTTGTTCCCAATATCCTAGAAATTCCAAAAGACTTAATCCATGATAGTTAAGGAAAGAGCTAATATAATCTTGAACTGAAAGAATGTACAGGGACATCAAATTTGCTTACTTCCACTACGCATACAGTATAGGATATGGATACAGTTCATAGGATGTGCCAACTCTTCTCAGATAGGAAAGGCTTCTGGTCTTGCTATGTTGAGAAAAATTCTAGGCTAAACCAAGCCTGTGATGATCTGTGATCTATTAGCAATGTCTGCCATGGAAGCAAGAGAGGCTGAGATAGTAAATATACTAATACCAGTTCAGAGAGATGAATTCACTGAAACAAAACTCTTCAGTGCTTGCTCTCTTCTTCCTACTCTATCATCAGCCAAATGTAGCTGAGAGGATCGAGAAGCCCAAGAGTAGTCAAGGGTGTTCTGACTGAAGCAAATTCTGGTCCTTAGCCACCTATGAGCTCAGCTTCTCAGGTCTCCTAATAGGAACCGTATGGCTGGGACAGCTGGGTATCAGCAGGTCTTCTCTGAACAGCTGTTTCTGGTACCTGTGGCTGCCATGGGGAACCAGGCTCTGGAGGACACTGGCCTGACAGACTCATTAGGCAGACGTAAACGATGTCTTTTTATAACTAAATTTTATGGGGGTATGTGACTACAGATACAGGGAGAAGTACAGAACATTTTGGGGTTTGCTGATTAGAGGCCAAGAGAATCCTAATAGAGTTCATCCCACGGTATGAGTCCTCCTGGGAAGAGCTCTTAACACCCTGGCCACCCTCGGTCCCTGAGAATCAGGACATGCTGGACTGGAGGGGAAAGGACAGTCAGGATGTGCCTGTTCTCTGGTCTTTATGACCTTCAGAGCTTTCTGGGTTCCCTGACTCCCCAGCTGGAAGGGACTTTAGAGTCCAGCCCTCTAATGTTACAAATTGGGTCCAGAATGGCAATGGAATTTGTCCAAGGTCACACAGTAAGTAGATGGCAAACCTAGGACAGGAACCCAAGGTCCCTGGCTCCAGGGCAGTGTCTCACTCTCTCTCCTTTACACTTTGAAACCATGCATACTTGTGAACCTTACAGAGTCATGGCACATTTACCCAAACTGCTCCTGTTTAAAATCTTTACCTGGCTCTTGGGAGAAAGAACAAACTCCTCAACAGAACTCACAAGAGCCATCATGATCTGCCCTCTGCTGAACTCCCAGCCTTGTTTTTTTTTGTTTTGTTTTCCCCTCTCACCTTGAACTCTCTGTCCCAATGAGATTTGTACTTCTTGACTCAAGTACATCCTCTTAACTACCCACCCCAACACTCATCTTTGCACAGGTTGTTCCTTCGGATGAGAATATCCTCCCCCATCTGCCTGGAGGACTCCCATTCATCCTTTGATGCTAGGCATAGATTTTGCTTTCTTCTCCATGGATCCTCCTTTGAGGTCCAGGTCTGGATAGCTGTGCCAACTATTCCAATCTCGAACCTTGTCACTCTAAATGTGCTATAGGGACTAGCAACATGGGCATCACCTGAGAGCTTATGAGAAATGCAGAATCTCAGGCCCATCCTAAGCCACTAAGTCAATTTGAATTTTAGCAAGGCTCTCAGGGGATTCTCATGAACATTCAAACTGGAGAAGCACTACTGGAAAACAAACTTCCCACCCTCCTTTTTATAGCATGCTTCTTATAACATGTTTCACTGCAACTGCCTACAGACTTTTCCTCACTAGGTGCTGCTCCTTGTAAAGGCAGGATCTGTCTTCTTCATTCATACATTACCAGCCCATAGCACAGAGCCTGGCATATAGTAAGCACATTAAAAGAATCAATGAATAAATAAATTAATGAAATGTGGTCTCCTTGGGTCTCTTAATATTTGCACGGACAATGCATTTTTTTTAAAGATTTTATTTATTTATTTGAGAGAGAGAATGAGATATAGAGAGAGACAGCATGAGAGGGGGTAGGGTCAGGGGGAGAAGCAGACTCTCTGCTGAGCAGGGAGCCCGATGTGGGACTCGATCCCGGGACTCCAGGATCATGACCTGAGCCGAAGGCAGTCGCTCAACCAACTGAGCCACCCAGGTGCCCAGGACAATGCATTTTTTGATCGCTATTTTTGAGCTGGAAAGACCTTAGAGTTCATGGAATTCAATTGTTTCCAACTGTGACCTACAGATCTTTAAGAGCTCAGAGAGACCTAAGAGTCCCTTGGGATTAGGGCAAAGAGGATTTGAAATGGAGACCCAGCAGGTGGGACTCCAGGCCACCCTCTCTAGCTTCTACCAGAAAAACGATGCAACCATCTGAGCCACAAATTCACTCATCCCATTATCCAGTTATTTAACAAGTAATTATTTAGCACCCACTTACAAGAGTGACTAGAACATAAAGAATCATTAAGTACACAGAAGGTGACATCATAGTGTAAAAGAAAGAAACACAACAGTAAACACAAAAGCAACATGAGATACTGAAACTAGTAGGAATGATGCAAAAAATTAAAACATGAAGGTGTGATTGAGAGAACAGGTAGAAATTTTAGAGGATTCTCTGAGAAAGTAGCATTCTAGTTAAGACCTAGGGTTCTACGTAAGATCTATTCAGAAAAAAAAAAATTCCACTGCTAAAAAGAAAGAGTACCACTGCCCTAGTTCATCCTGATCATTTTATAGATATAGAGGAGACTGAGGGCCAGAGAGAGCCAGAGCCCAAGGTTGCACAGTGAGTTCATTAGTATTGTTAGGACAGACTAAGATGCAGCTATCTTGATTCCTGCTGACATGCCAGTGTGGGATGGAATCTCATATCCCCTCCAGAGACTAGAAAGATTGAGGAGGGAGGAAACTGGGTGACACCAATCGGGGCTGGCAGACAGTGACTGCTGAGGGGTTGGCCAGAGGTTAGTGGGTTATCACAGTCCATTACCAAGTGGGTTGTCCTGCCTCTGTGGGAGGCCAGGCAGCCTTTCCAAAAGATTTATGTCCTGGAAGGTCATAAAGGAACCCAGAAGGCTATAAAGACAAAGTCAGGAGTGGAGTTCTGGTTTAGCTTCCACCCAAACTCTCTGAGCCCTGTGGGAAAGCCCAATAAAGTGGGATGCCTTTCCCTATCCATGGGCAAGATGGCAGCCCAGATGACTCACACAGTGGCTTTCATCTGGGGCTCTGTGCTTCTGCCTGTCTGCCCTCTTTTAGCTTTTATCTAAAGAAGCTTCCTTTCATGTGAAAGAGGAAAAGTTACAGTCCAGGACCCAATGGGCAGATAAGGTCTGTTGCAGGGAGAGATCTTTTTTATCCCTGACCAAGCTCTTGTCTGTTCCCTTGAGGGCCTCAAATCCTTGCAGGGATATTCCAAGTGTTCTAAGGGCTCAGGGTGAGTCCTCAGGGCAGAACCAGCCTCCTTATCAAACTGTGCAACTATGGGCAGCTCATTTAACCTCATGGGGCCTCCAATTCCTTATCATCCACAAAATGAGAATACCCTACTTTGCCCAGTTTACAGGGAAATTTTAAAGCTTTTTAAAGCACAGAGTGCTTTAAAAAGTACTTCAGGAAGTACTTCAGGAAGTCAGGTGATTCTCTCCAATGTTATCAGTGCCATCCTACTGCAGAACACCATCTCCCCTGGGTTATTAAAAGATCGGCCCCAAGGGCCTCACCACCTCCCTCCTGTCTTGACTCCTCTCGACCGACCGTCTAAACTTCCAACTGCGGTCAGAGGGATCTTTCTCCCCCTTAAGATCTGCCAATATCACCCCCTTGTGAAAAACACTTGAAAAGCTTCCCCTTACTCTAGGGAGATAATCCAAACTCTTTAACCCTACTTACAGGGCATTCAGGACTGGCCCCTGCTGACCTTTCCCTTATCCCTTACCACTCCTGCTGTCACACACTTTGCTCCAACTACAGGGAAATTCTTCAATTCCTCTACCCAGTGTTTACCAAAGTGTAGAAGGAGTTCCCCAGGGGCAGGAGAAAGGATTTTAGGTGGTGCTCCAGATGATCACAGACCCAGCGTTAAACAACAATGAACCACACTGGGAAAGGCAGTCAGATTCTCTTTTTCATTCTCTTCCCCTCCTCCGGATTTCTTTAAAAAAGAAAAGTCTCAGTTTGAGACTGTGTCTTCAGTACTTCTCTAACACTTGCTAATCTTTTTATTTTTTTAAAGATTTTATTTATTTATTTGACAGAGAGAGGGAGAGAGCACAAGCAGGGGAAGCGGCAGGCAGAGGGAGAGGGAGAAGCAGGCTCCCCGCTGAGCGGCTCAGGCTCTACTAGGATTGAAGAGCATTGCTTTCTGGTTTTGTCCGTTTGTTTCCCTTCCATTGTATCAAATGTTTACAATTAATTTTCCATTAAAGGTAGATGGTGCTAATTTTCCCTTTATAAAAAAACAACAGTGTTTTCAAATAGATTTTCAATGAGAAGTGAATCTAAGAAATACCAAAAATAAAAAGTGCTTAGGGTATGGTGATACGTCAAAAATCATAAAAGCGGCAGACAAATGATGAAAATTTGAAGGAAACCCTGCCCTAATGTAACATTATCTCCTCTGTGGATTCCCCCAGCTCAACACTCTGCCCCAAACACTCCAATCCTCCTGTCCTTCTTCTTGTCTGACCCCTATTCACTCTGTGGCCCTCAGTCTCAGCCCTGGCGAAGGCTTCCCTGGGTTACCTAGACCAGATGTCTATGGCTTGCCTCCCCAGAGGGCCCTATTCTGTTGTCATTATACTTATTATTCCTATTCCTTGCAGTGCTTGTTTAATTACCTCCAACAGTGGGCTTCTCCCTTTTTGTCACTGAATGGTCAACAACCAACTGGTAAGAGGCACTACTAAGTAAGTGATGAATGAATGAATGAATGAATGAATGAATGTGGTTAGGTGTAAGGCATGAAACACAGCCACATTTCATACACTACTTTATGAAGCTTCAGAAGACAGTGACGGTGTCTTAGTTATGTTTGAATCCTCCCTGGTGCCTAGTACAATGCTTGGTACAGTCACAGCTGGTGATAAAAATCATGTCTTAATACACATTGGATTTAGGAATGTATTTAGTCACGGTCACTAATGGACTTCATTCTAGAAAACCTCAGAGTTCTTTCTTTCTTTTTTTTTTTCAGAAAGGGAGAGAGAGAGTGTGTCGGGGGGTGGGGCAGAGGAAGAGGGAGAAAAAGAATCTCAAGTTGGCTCCATGCCCAGTGCAGAGCCTGATACAGGGCTTGATCTCATGATCCTGAGGTCATGACCTGAGCTGAAATTAAGAGTCAGACTCTTAACCAACTGAGCCACCCAGGTGCCCCTAGAAAACCTCAGATTTCTTATGGAAGAGTGGGAAGAGCCCTAGATTTGGGGCCATGACCCTGCCACTATACCCTTCCATGATCCTGGTTAGGACACATCTCCTCCAGGAGTCCAAGGTTCTTGTCTCTAACACCAAAGATGGAAGGTAGGTGAGGGGAGTGATTGAGGGAAAGAGCGCTGATGTCTCTCTCTTTTCTGACATTCCAGGAGTCCAAGAAGCTAAAATTCTGAGATTCTATCATTCTCCCTGCCCATTTTCCATCTCTAACCCTGACATGACTAAGGTGGATGACACCCTTATTTATTTGAGAAAGCCCATTCTCAGCCTATGGAAGAAAGGGTCCAGTAAAATCAGATAGAAGCAAGACCACTCCACTCATACTCACACACCCCTTCATACCTGGGCCCCAGCTCATCCTCACTTCTCCAGACAAAGTCGCCAAACTTCTCATAGTGAGAGTTGTAGTGATGCTGGACTCGGAACAGCATTGAGGCTGAGACTTCCATCAGCGTGTTGTAGGCAGTCTGCTGCTCCTTGCCACTTGTGTACCCATTGTACAGATTGTAGATCTTGTCTGCTATCTCTGAAGGGGGAGAAGTGCAGGCACAGATCACTGGACAGCAGGAAAAAGTGAGGATGGAAACATGCCTTGCAGCAAGAAAGGCACATTCATGCTGGAATTCACATGTGCAGTATCCGAGGGCAGACAGACCTTAATTCCCTCCTGAACATCATTGACTAGGTGGGTTCAGTTTTCCTATCTATCAGCTGAAAATAATGAGGTCTATTTTGGAGATGTGCTGGGAGGACAAAATTAAACAGTGAATGTAAAGTACTCAACACAGGGCCTGGCACAAAGTTAGTGCTCATAATTTGCAAGCTTCATTATTAACATACATTTGGTACCCATGATTTAACATAAAATTCCAAACAAGTGTAGAGGCTTAAATCAACTGTCTTGGGCTCATCTCAACAGTCTATTTCTGTCTCCCCTCTGTAATATTTCCAACACAGTTCTGTGATCAGGTCTAATAGGTCTCCATTCAAAAGTCTTTCAAAGAAAAACCATGGTAATTCATGGCAATTTCTACTCCTTCAGTCATTCCTAGTAATTAATTGATGTAACTTAGAGTCATCATGGGTTGCTCCCTTGAATGGAAGGCCCATTCTTTCACCTGTGAAGACTCTAATCAAAATTTATGTACATCCCCAAGTCATTGCTAACAGCGACTGCCTCTAGAAGAATCTGGGAGACTCGAGTTTAGGATGGGAAGAGCGTTTACTTTGCAGTATTTCCACTCTGGTTTTTCTTTTTTTTAACTACATGCATGTGTTGTTTTAAAATAATAATAATGATGATGATTATGATGATAATAAATGACCAGGAAACCATCTCACATCCCCTCACCTCTGAGATGTGATAGCTCCTCAATAGGAGGACTATCTCCTCTTGTCTGATAAGACGCAAAGCATGTATTATTGAGCTTATTATTGAGCCATTTGTAGAAATGTCAGTCTCTCTCTCTCGAGAGAGAGAGAGAGAGAGAGAAAGAGACTAGAACGTGAATTCCTGAAAGGTGAAGAACATGTCTCTTCTGCATTGCTTGTACACCAGTGCTCTTAGAAAACATCTGCTCAACTTGAAGTGAACCATCAGGACTCACAATCTATCACCGCATTTTTGCCCGTCCTGATGTAGAAACTATATCTACAGGTTGGCTAAGAACTAAGTACATGGTGGATCTAATTGGTTGGTTCTATATATATATATTTTTTTTCAGGTACTTTGCCTGATGTTTATAACTTCATGGGCCAGGAGCAGCAGAAAGGTTTAATCCTGCATGCTACCTCTCATCAACAGTCACTGACTGTAGCTCTATGCTGAGGATTCTGAGGCCACCCCTGGGCTAGATGGAGATGCGTGCTATGATGAGCTAATGCTATCTACCATGGGCTTAGTGGTGGAGTGGTCTTCTACTGTCACTAATATGTCAGTTCTAGCATAGACTGAAGTGGAAAAAAGTGATTGGTCTCTAAAAAGCTTAGGCTAAGGGGCACGATATAGTCATGGGGCTCTAACTCTCTACCATTCCTTGCCTCTACCTCAGAACATAGACAAACGCTATGAAAGAGGAGCAAGTCTTTCAACTGGCTAAGATATTGCTGGTCCATCTCAATTTCCTTCATGGCTTTGATTAATTTAGCTCCATGTTCCTCCTGTCCCCTTAGTCCCTTCACTTTCTTCTCTCGGTGCCAAGAGGTGTATGAGGCAGGAAAGGGGTAGTGGTTAGTGACTGGGTGTAGAACTTAGAGGAAATACGGGAGTGACCTGGGAAGGGAAGAAATGGGTCACCTACCTTCTGCCTTGTTGTCATCCACCAGCGGACAGGCCGTTCTCAGGGTCACTGTGCTGAGCTCTGAGTGCCTCCCTCGTGTATCCACAGCATACAAAGTGAACCTGCAGCATAACAAGAAAACAGGGCACGGGGTTGTGACTTCAGAGAAGGCCCGGGAAGTTGTAAGGTGCAACACAAAATCATAGTAAAGGAGCAGTGGCCAAAACAATTCAGGGATGCTTAGGCTGCGAGAGAAAAGATTTGGAAAAAAAAAACAGCAACAATAAAGCATTATTGGGCACCAATTGGCTGCCGGGCACTTTGCATTTACTCTCACTCTCTCTCTCTTTTTTTTTTCCCCCAAAGATAAAAATGTAGTGATCCAAAGGGGCATGTGCACCCCAATGTTTACTGCATTTCCTCTTATTTTACAAGTAGGCAAGCCTGGAAGGCAGGGATTATGATCATCTGCACTTCTCCAATAAGGAAACTGAGACTTTGATTTTGTATGTTTCCATGGTCTCACAATTACTTGGGGACAGAGCAGTCTGAACCCCAATGCTATCTGGCTTGGCTGGACATGCTCATTTACATGTTCTTTCATTCATCCATTTAATAAACACTTCCTGAGCATTAACTGTGTGCCAGGAGTTATTTTATTCATATACTGTATGAGTTATTTTATTCATATACTGTGATTGCATTTTACCAATAAGGACATTGGTTCCAAAGAGGTCAAGTAATTCACCTCTTATTACATATTAAGTAAGTAGCAACAGGGGACCAGAACTTAGGTCTGCCTCAATCCAAAGATTATACACTTAACCACACTGTCAAATCTAATTCCACCTTTTGTCTTTCATTAGCTGGCTTGGAGTGCTGGCCTATACCTAAAATATATGTCTTAAGAGGCCTAAACATGGGCTATGTTGGCCCCATCTTCAGAAGGAAACTAATCTATTCATCTGCTTGCTGGGGTTTTTGGCTTCTGCCTTTGGTAGAAGAACAACAGCACTGTGATGTGGGTGTTCTCTCCTCCTGCTGTATCTCAGCATTGTGAGTGGGGCTCAGTTCTAGTGCTTACTACATCCAGTACCGTTTTGGTCAAGAGAAGCAGGGGTGACAGAGGAAGGAGCCTGGTCTTGGAGATGGCCAGGCTTGGGTTCACGCTCTATTCTACTCCCTTTCTCTGTGACCTTGGTTGAGTCACTTCACTTCTCTGTGCTTACTTCATCTCTCTGCTTCAGGCATCTCTAAGTGCTACACAGGGGGACTTGTGATCAAAAAGCCTTGCAGAGGGGTTAGAAATAAGATCACAAAGAAAATCCAGGATGTGAGAATAAGCAAGTGGCAGAGTAGGGAGGTAAGGACAGTACTGGGTGTTACCACCCTCACAGCAACCCATCTAGAACGTGGTAGAGGCAAGATCCAAACCCTAGCCTGCAGCTCCCAGAGGGTGTATACTTCACGGCTTGAGTACAACAATCTCCTGGCATTTACCAGTACTGGGTATATATAGTAGGCACTCGGTAAATATCTGAGCACATCACATCTCATTTCTTAATCATTTCTACCTCAACAAAATGGGGATACTTGTAGAGATAATGCATGACTGTCTCAAAGATTACATAGAGTGATACGTGAGAAGTGGCTTGTAAGCTGCAGATTTTTATAAAGACCATGTAAACAGCACTTATTTGTACAAGAGTGCACATTAAAAAAAAAATGCTTTCTTGGAGAAGAGGAGATGCATTTCAACTGAGGGAAACATGGAAGGATGTAGTGAATGGAATATGTGAATTAGCCTCAAAACATGAGAAGTTGGAAAATTTTTTTAAACACTACTTTCCCATTGGCCACTTATGTTTTCATGGTACTTCTGCAATACATTTCCTCCACCAAGAGGGTGTAGGGTCACCTCTCTGCTTAGCCAAGCAGCAAGAATAACAGCATGCTGGGGAAGAAGCAGTCTTAGGCTTCTAAGTTATAAAACCTGGATAGAATCCTTGCTTTCCCCAACTGCTGGCTGAGTATTCTCTGGGCCTCAGCCTCTATAAGTAGGGTGAAATTCTCCATCTCTCACAAGTTTGGGACCAAGACTCAATGATACAACAATGGAGCAGGCCTGGCTCAATCTTTGCTCCCTAAAAGGTGGCTTCTATTTATGTTATTAGAGTAACCAAACGTGTCAGTGGAGTCTTTGGGATGGAGGAGGCCTCAGGCCACCCTGCCGGTGTGGGTGGAGGGGTGGAAAAAGAGGAAGATGTCAACCTCACAGGCTTGGGTCAAAAGTCACAAGGCCAAGCGCTTTCTGCCCGTCCCAGCTGTAATTGTAGAACTGTTCCAGAGACACATCTGAAAGCTGTTAGGGGACCAGGCAGGGCTTGGAGGGGCTTTTTGTGAGGGGAAGAAATTGGAGGCCCCTAATGTGGAGAAGCAGGAGGGGAGCAGAGACTGAGAAGCAGACACAGGGACACACCCATAGAGCAGAGTGAAAAGTGGGAACAGAGAGAGACTGAGAGAGGGCACAGGCAGACCTCGGTGTTCCTCAGGGGATTCAAGAAGGGTGCCAGCTACCTTCTGCTCAGTTCTTCCATCTTCTCTTTGCCCACTGAAGCAGGCTGAGATCCACTGGTAATTCGAACTAGAACCCCTGAGCCAGCACCAAACTCCATATCCTTATTTACAGGTAGGGAAATGGAGGCCCAGAGAGGAAAGATTCTTAAGAAGTTCAGAGTAGACACTGGCTTTTCTGACTCCTCCCCCAGTGCTCCTTCTATACACCACCCTGCTTATGGTACAACTGGCTGATTTAGGTCCCACTGCACCTATCGGATACTTTTATTACAAAAGAGGTGGCTCCAAGTATGTAGTGGGATGGGCTCTTTAGGAACCTGAAGCTCCAGGCTCAAACCCTTGCTATTTAATCTTCCTCCGACTTTGTTTTAGGGGAAAGAATACTGGCCAAGGTGTCTGAAACAAACAAAACAAACAAACAAACAGAAACACATGTAAGTACATAGAACAAAATGGTGGTTGTCAGAGGGATGGGGTGTAAGGGGATAAGCAAAATGGGTGATGGGAAGTAAGAGGTACAGCCTTCCAGTTATGAGTAGGTCGGGGTGGGGGGTGAAAGGTACAGCATAGGGAATATAGTCGATGGTATCATAATAGCCTTGCATGGCGACAGACAGTAGCTACACCTGTGGTGAGCACAGCACAATGTAGAAAGTTATTGAATCACTATGTCATACACCTAAAACTAATTTAATATAGTGCGTCAACTATGCTTCAATTAAAAAAAAAAACTGAGTTCATGTCCCAGGTTTTCCACAGATTGTGGCCTATGAGATCCTGGATGTCTAAAGCAATATGGCTTTAGTGTACTGCAATTTCAATGTGGGGGCAAGTGCCTTGGGATTGACTACACAAATGCAAAGTATTTTTCTGTTTCTTCATCACCCTCAGGACTAAATCCAAACTCCTTCCTATAGGCTCCCAGTGCAGCTCCTTGATCTTCACTCGTCAGACAGTACTGTATCACTGAACCTCAAATTAACATTGGCCACACACCCAGCCTGTTTTACCAGTCTGCTTCCTACTCTGTTTCATAGTAGAACCATATCCAACTGCTAATGGTTCCGGGACATGGATTCTACCTCTTGGCCTTTGCACATGCTACACCCTCTGTCTGGCTCATCCTTCCCCTTCTCCACTTGACCCTTCCCACCTTGTCCTTGGAGCATCAGTCAAACCTCGTCTCCTCTAGTAAACCTTTCTCCGCCCACAGTGCCCTGTGACCATACATATTGCATGCCTGGGTCAGTGCTCATATGCTTCTCTCTCGCCACTGTGAGTACGTATCTTCAGGATCAGAATCTGGCTCGGCCCGTCTCTATCCACCCACCTACATCTGGTGCTCAGACACCTAAATCACGCAATGCTCGGCAAGTACTTTCCAGAAGGAATGAAAGACTGAATGAATGATTCAATCAACTATGAAGAGTAGTTCCCTTGTCTGGAAATCCACTTCTCCATTTGTGAAATGAACAAAAGGGGATTTGCTTGAAGGGTCATTGTAAGAGATAGAGACAGAATGGCTAAAAGCATGAACCTGTAATCAGGCAATTTGGTTTTAAATTCTGGCTCCCCATTTATTGACTGTGTGAGGCCCTTTTACTCACCTGTAAAATAGGAAGTATGATATTAAAATCCACTGTATAGGGTCATTGTCGGAATAAAGAGAGGTGTGGGTAAGTGCTCCCTATGATGCCTGGCATGCACAAATACTCAATGAGAGACAGTTGCAGGTATTATTATCAATAGTATTGTTATTATGACACTGCACAAGGCTCTGACCCCTCCCCCACCCCCCACCCCCACCCCACTAGACATCCAGAAGTTGTCCTAGTGGAAATCAGAGGAGAGCGGGTGGAGAGGAAGCTGTTGTTGGTCCCATCCAAGACCCCCAGACCCCCTCGCAGCAGGGGTGAGAGAAGGAAACTGAGAAGTTAATTGGCGGTGAGAGCTTCTCACGGATCTGACAGGGGGTAAGAGCAGGGATAGAGCCCCAGAGGCCCACATCAGGCCCAGGTCCCCGAGAGTACAGGAGAATGTGTTTGAAGTCTCCAGACCAACGCCTGCTCTTCCCCAGCCGCCACATGATTTAGGCATTCTGGGGAGGCAAAAGTCTCCTCGCTAACTTGAAGGGAAACAGATGTTTCCAGGCCAGAGGCCCTGGTCTTGTAAAATGCTCCTTCCCCCCACACAGCTTTGGCAAACAACTTCCCGTTAGCTCAAACCCCCCACACACCCCCACCCCACTGCCCGACACCCCACCTACCATCGCTCCCCTCCCTGCCATTCCCATCACAATGCGGCAGTCAGCATGGTGGGAAAAACACGGAGTCCCAGCTCCAGCTCTACATCTCAACAGCTGGATGGCCAGGGACACCTATCTGCCCTTCTCTGGGTCTCTGTCTCCTCTCTCTGCAGTGAGAAAACTAAGCCAGTATCACCTCTAAGGATAGGCTAGATCTGACATGTTAGGGACTGAAGATTTTTTTTTTCCCCTGAAAGAGTTGGTATTATTCATTCCAGATCTTTCTCCATTGCAGTCTAT